CTGGCAGCCAGCACGCGTTACCAACACTGGCGACTCGCGGCGGCCGAGCGCCAGCCAAGTCAGTACATACACAACCTCCGGAGAGAGAGGTCACACGCGAGCACAGTGCAATCCTCTTGAGTGCAATCGAAAAAACCTATTCCCGGATTACTCTACAGTGATAAAGTTTTTCCTTCTTGTTGTGTGTGGGATTTCTAGTCAACCACAGGGATTCTATTATATTTTTCTCCGCGATATATCATGTGTAAAAGTAAGTAATGTATTTTCTTTTTTTTGTATTTCTGTCAATTTTGAAAATCTTAGTTTTTGAATTTATCTCTTCATAAAATTCAAACGTTGTTCATTAAGTCATTGTCACAGAAGAGAAACACAATCATACTCTTCAACTTAGTAAATTAAAACTCAATAACCTATTTTTTTATAAAATTTAAATCAGTAAATTTCACTTTCTACTTAATAATAATAATAATAAATAAAATATATATCATGACACACTGCGAAGCTCGGTGTGATTCATTTCCTAACAGTGACAAATTCTTATCAATGAGTAAGAGCCGAGATTTGCCCTCAGGGGGACTGCGGCAGCGACCAAGCACTAGGTTGTGAGTGGCATGAGTAACTTTTGTGTTGTGGTGATGGGTTTGCTTGATGAGTTAGAGAGTGAAGAGAGAGAGAGTGAGAGAGAGAGAGAGACAGACAGAGAGAGAGGGAGAGAGAGAGAGTGAAGAGAGGGAGTGAGAGAGAGAGAGAGAGAGAGAGAGTGAAGAGAGGGTGAGAGAGTGAAGAGAGGGTGAGAGAGAGAGAGAGAGAGGAGAGATAAAGCAAGCGAGAATGAGAGATAACACGGGAAAGAGAGAGAGAATGAGAGAATGAGTTTGTGGCAATTGAATGAGAGTGAGTGAGTTGAGTAAGTTCGGATGAATGAGATGAAATGAATAAAGCGAATGAAAAAAAATATGAATAAATAAACGAGGCTGTTCTCGGGCGAGATGCGTGGAATATTTCGCCAGCAAGATGATGGTGAGTTGATGCTCTTTGAGGATATAGTGACTCGACGCTAACATGGAGAGATGATGTCACGCGCTGTTGCCACGTCTCCCGCGAGTGTCACACGAGCGGGACCCCCACTTCACACACGCGCGAAACAGCGGCAGCGCGGCCCGTCGCTGATCCCCGAGCATGCACCAAATTCGCCAAGATTTTATTTGCTAAAATGCGACAGTTTGTCATGTTCCTTCTTCTCCCTTTTTCGTGTGCCGTGCCTCAGGATCACACGAAGCAAGTCAGGTTCTCACGAAGGTGTATTGAGAGAGGTGCCCGGCCATTACATAAGTTATAATTATAAGGAGAAACGGCAAAGGAAAATAGAAAAGAAGCTAAATATAGGAGGGGTGTCTAAAGTTTTTTATTTCTTGGACTCCAAACTGTTTTCAATTGGTTATTTCTCTCTCTCTCTCTCTCTCTCTCTCTCTCTCCTCTCTCTCCTCTCTCTCTCTCTCTCTCTCTCTCTCTCTCTCTCTCTCTCTCTCTCTCTCTCTCTCTCTCTCTTTCTCTCTCTCTTTCTCTCTCTCTCTCTCTCTCTCTCTCTCTCTCTCTCTCTCTCTCTCTCTCTCTCTCTCTCTCTCTCTCTCTCTCTCTCTCTCTCTCTCTCTCTCTCTCCCCCTCTCTCTCTCTCTCTCTCGTACCTCTCTCTTCCTCTCCTCTTTCTCCCTCTCATCCTCTCCTTTCATACTACATCTTTTTATTATTATTATTATTATTATTATTATTCTCGTCCGTAGCATCCTAACCGCGTTGACGTCTCATTCAGATGACTCTCGGCCGGCGTCTCGTGACTCCTGTGCTCGGAGGAGGCGCAGACGGAGGGAGGGAGGGAGGGAAGGAGGGGGGGAGGGGCAAACAGATATGCGAAGGAATGGGTGATCCGCCGCCGGATGGCCGAGTTTTTATTCTTAATCATGTTATTGTTGTTGTTGTTGTTGTTTTGTTTGAAAGAGGACAGACAGATATAGAACTAAAAAACTCAAAAGAAAACCAGAGTGTTCAAGTCAAGACGAAATCAAACGAAAGATGATTCAGCATCGAGAAGTACAGGACAAAGACAAAGATAATATATATAGACGATAACAAACGCGTACAATATAGCGTACAAGAAATGGATAACGAAGAGAAGACAAACAGACAGACAGACAGACCGAGCGAAAAATCCTGGCTCGTTCAAAGACAACACTTAATGACCTAATAGAAAGACCGGGTAAATAGAATAACAGAGAGGTCGAGGATCACAATTGCGTTAGAGAGGGAGGGGGGAGGGAAGGAGGGAGGGAGGGAAGGAAGGAGGGAGAGAGGGAGGGAAGGAGGGAGAGAGGGAGAGATAGAGAGAGATAGGGGTGATATATATATAGTATAAGATTAACGTGTTTGAGAGAGAAAAAAAACGAGAAAAAAACATTAGGTAATACAAAATGAATAAATAAAATAAAGAAAATATCGAAAAACAATATTAAAAAAATGTAAACAAAAACGGCCGAGCCAGCAGTTGCCAGCACAAGTGTCATTGTTGCGAATCAACCGCACGCTCTCCAGACAGCCATTGCATTGAGCCAAACAAACCGACAGACCGTAAGAAACTGAGTCACTCTTGGTCATTGCACAGAAGCAGGAGGAGCAGTGAGAGGGCGACGGAAATGGGACAGAAAGCAGGGGGGTGTGGTTGCAAAGGGGGGAGGGGGAGATTAGCGGCAGTTGCAAAGGGGATCGTGTTATTGCAAAGGGGGGATTTAGTGGCTTTTGCAAAGGGGGATAGAGTGGCCATTGCAAATGGGATGGTGTTATTGCAAAGGGGGATTAACGTATGTTGCAAAGGTCTTTGCAAAGTGGTGCCAAGAATAATTGCAAAGTTGGCAGCAGCGATTGCATAAAAATAGGGTTAGTGAGAGTCGAAAAAGAAGGTGTTGTGATTATTGCAAAGGGATCACGGTGATTGCAATGAGGTTGGAAGAGAATGGCAACCGTAGTATCGAGGGAGGGGGGGGGATTGCAAGCTGCGGCTGGTTGCAAGATGAATCACAGTCGGAGTAGCGGCGGAAGGACAAGTCGCGTGGCGGTTTTCGACTCTCTCTCTTTCTCTCTTTCTTTCTTTCTTTCTTTCTTTCTTCATCTCTCTCTCTCTCTCTCTCTCTCTCTCTCTCTCTCTCTCTCTCTCTCTCTCTCTCTCTCTCTCTCTCTCTCTCTCTCTCTCTCTCTCTCTCTTTTTCCCTCTCTTTCCCTCTCTTTCCTTTTCTCTTTCTTTCTCTTTCTCTCTTCCTCTTTTTCTTTCTACTTTTTCTTTCTACTTTTTCTCCGTTGGGCTTGGTAGGCCTGTGTCGTTCGCATTTCGTGGCTGTTTTGTTTTGTTCGACGAAACGCCTTGAATTACGTTTATTTTGTTTTGTTTTTTTGTTGTTGATATTTTTGTCAACATGGCGACTGCGCATTTTTATTTGCACGTCCATTAGTGCAGTAGGATTGGAAATTTGAATATTTCGTCAGATAGAGCATCAGATTTATGTCTCAATTAGTCACTTTTATTTATTAATTTATTCATTTTCTATTATATATATATTTTTTTTTACGAAATTATCACCTTCAAGATCTAGGCCTATCACCCCCCCCCCCACCTATTTATTTAGCATCAACCGCGTCGCCTCCGATGTGAAACAAGATACTATTTATCGCTTTTGCAATAATGGGTCCCAGTTGCATGCGTTGTTAGTGTTGCTGATTGCTTGTGATGCGGTTAAGCGCTTTAGCTCCGCCCACTACATTTATATGATCCTTGCGTTGGGCTTGTGACGTCATGCGGGAGGGGCGGGGCTAAGGACGAAAAAGAGGTGGAAAACTGAAATGAAAAAAGGTGGAGAGGTTGGGGGGGAAGGGGGAAAAAGGGGGAGAGGGAATTGGAGGTAGGAGGGGAGAAGGAGACAAGAAGATAAAGAGGATAATGATAATAGATGAAGATGATAATGATAATAGATAATGCATATAAACGAGAGAATAGAAAAGGACAAAAAAACATCAGTCATGTCATAAGGAAGAAGAATAAATAACAGCGTAAGAGCGGAATAGTAATTTAATCGCTTCGACTGACAGACAGACACAGCATAGCGCGCGTACGCTCTCTGACCTACATACTATATCACAAACAGATCAAATGAAAGACAGATATGCAAATTAGCCGATATGCTGCAAGTGCGAAACCTTCAGATACACTTGAACGAATAAAAGGCGTACTTGAGACGACCAGACAGACTGACGCGTTCGCTGAATTTAAATTTCGCGCCGCTGGGGAGGGGGGAGGGGGGGAGATGTGACTGAGGGGAGGAGATGGAGAGAGAGGAGGAGGAGGGAGATAAGGAAGAAGAAAAGGAGGGAGATTAGGAAGAAGAGGAGAAGGAGGGAGATAAGGAAGAGGAAAAGGAGGGAGATAAGGAAGAAGAGGAGGAGGTAGAGATAGAAGAGGAAAAAGGAGAAAAGGAGGGAGGAAAAGAGCAAGCGAAGAGTAGAAAGATAAGAGACCGAGAAAGGAGACGACGAGGACCGTAACGGCCCAGCAGGTCACACGGGCGGGACTCGGTGGCGGCCGCCGGACTTTCCCATGCCGTAACCGTGAGTCACGCTCTGTGTTACGGATCCCGTGTGACGCTGATCCTCCTCCTCCTCCTCCTCCTCCTCCTCCTCCTCCCTCCTCCTCCTCCTCCTCTTTTTCCTCTTCTTCCTCTTCCTCCTCTGTCCTCACTTCTCTTTTTTCGCCCTTCTTCTCCTTCCTCTCTCTCTCTCTCTCTCTCTCTCTCTCTCTCTCTCTCTCTCTCTCTCTCTCTCTCTCTCTCTCTCTCTCTCTCTCTCTCTCTCTCTCTCTCTCTCCCTCTCTCCCTCTCTCCCTCTCTCCCTGTCTCCCCCCTTCCCTCCCTCCCTCCCTCCCTCTCCCCTATATTTTCCACGTATGACTGATAGCTGGGGGA